GGCCTTGACCAAGCACTGAGAGAGCTCAGCAAGATTTCCCTGACACCTGAAGCTGGGCAGCTGCTGCTTCACAGCCGCCTTTCATTTCAAAACTCCAAACGGACTTTGTAAGCTAATTGCAACATCCTTTTTATCAGAACCAAGCTTTGCAAGATACTTAAGCAGCTAGAGCATAAGTATGCACTTGTTCAGCTCACTGATGGCTTTCTACAGCTCACATTTCACTATCCAGTTGCTTTTGTGGCATCAGTGGCAAACAAATCACATTCCTTTACCCACTCTGTATTTCCCATAAACCAATGCTACAGGCAGCAATACTTTTATGAAATGTATTGGTACATAAACACTTGTTCTACTTCCTGAAAGATTTTAATATATGCAAGTAATATTTTTAAGATTTGGGATTCATGTTGGCCTTAGAAATTCATTGCTGGTTGTAGGATTGATTAGGATATGCTATGCTCTGGGTCAGCCTTTCCTGAAAGCTGTGAGCAAAAGGCCAAAGAGTATTTGAGCAACCTGATCTAGCTGAAGATGCCCCTACCATGGCAGGCAGGTTGGACTGGATGATCTTTAAAGGTCTCTTCCACCCCATACTCTTCCTGTGATTCTATGAAAGCTGTGCCTAGGAAGGTACAAGACAAACATTTAGCATTTACAGTATGAGACCTATCTATGAGAAAGTGGGGCCTGGCTCTGGATTTCATGGGGTGTGATGCCAAGCGATTCTGGGGATGCACCTCCTCTTCAGACTCCTACCTTTGGGTGGAGATCCCTATCCTACTGCAATCCCAAATTTCCCCAAGCTTCCATCCTCCTACCTCACATGTACAGCAGCACTGCTCCCTTCCAGACAGATGAGGCAAGCAGCAGGGCTGTTCACCTCAGCCCTTCTCTTTCTTCTGCCCAAAGCATGTCCAGGATCTCTTCAAGTGCCGCCATCACCATTTGTATTGGCTGAGTATGCTTTAGGCTAGATTCATAGCATTCCTGAAGAAATGCTGGGCAAAACAGTGTGGAGAATGCAGTTCTGGGCAAAATTTGCTCAGGATTTCTACTTAAGGTTGAGAGGAACATGCAGAGGATCTTCAAAAGCATTCCATGAGCCCATTGCTTGTTCCCTGACCAGCCACCGAGCCCTTGGAAATATGACTTCTTCAACTGCTGCTGAAGCAGAAACCAGAGGTTTTTACCATCTGTGTGTCTGCCTAGTATAGAGGGCAAACACTCTCCCAAGGAGATACCAGCCTCACTTGGCACTGCTGCCAGAGCCCATGACTTTTGCACTGTCCCACAGCGCTCTCTGCACCCACCTGCCACAGTGGCTTGATGTTTCTGTTGAGCTGATTTAGGTTCATGTCCTGTCACATGCAGCTGATTACATTTGCACCTCTTGTCAAGCAAAGCCCAGAGTCAGGTTCTAAAATACTGTAGATAACTCAGTGTCTTTTACCTGACCCAGGAGGAAGGTGCTTTAGATAGAAGTCTTATTAATGATGCAGCTGCAGGGCTCAGTAAAGTGGAGGCACTTCAGATTTCATCTGAATAATTAAATCCCATCAATAGGACTTTCCAGGACCACTATTTAAAATTAATAACTTCAAATGCAATTCTGGTGTATAATGGAATCCACTGAAATAGGATTTGGTTTTTGTTTTGGTTTTGGATTTTTTTAATATAAAATGCTTTATAGCTTTGCTGGCAATTTTACAGCCACCTGCCTCTCAGCCCCAGCTGACGACAGCTAGAACAGGGGCTTGGGGTGGTTTTTGAATATTTTTAACCTCCGAAAAATATGAAACGGCACAAATCCCAGCATCCAGCATGCTGGTGCTCATGTTTAATGGACTTCTAATAAGCTGAGAGGAAGTGAGGAAGTCTTGTTTGGAAAAACATGTCTCCTCTGCCTAAGAAGATGGGAAGACAAGGGGTCATCTAGGTCTGTACCAAAAGCCAGTTCTCTTTTCTGAGAAATAAAATCTTTCTTTTCCACAGAAAGTGTGTCACACGCAACTGGCAGCTTTAACTGTGGTGAATGTGTTGAAGAAGCCGAGGGACAGCATCTCTAGCTGAAACCCTCACAGGCTGCACACCCGAGCGGGTATAGTGGGATAAAATGTAAGGTTCATAGGAAAGTACCAGAGCTTTCCTCTTTGGACAACAACCTTCAAGCAGTACTGGGGACATCTTTGTGCCACATCCTCTTCATCATAGTTTTTCCAGCGTAGCTTCATTTACCACCTAGAAGAGCTTATCAAAGTTTGATTAGTGCTGCATGACTTTTTTCCTCCTCTTCATTATTCTGGGGAGGCATTCAGTTACTGCTGCTTTGCATAGTTTGTGATAGGAGGGTTGACAGTCAAAACTTACCCTACTTAGGGAAAAAACTTTCCCTGTCTGTCCTTGCATGCTGCCAGAAAGACATGTTTAGTACAGGCCATGACCTCTAATAGCAGGCAAATGGAGATAAGCGCTTCTCTCCCTGGTGTTTTTCAGCTGGCTGAGGCAAACAGCTGCTTGAAGCATCCCTGGTGGAGGGGCTTGTCCAGTTTTCCCATGGGAAATGAGGATAATGCAGTGGCAGGCTTTTTGGTCACATTTGCTGCAGATCATAGAGCAACTGGGAGCCTGCCCTGGCCTTAGAGAGGATCTGCAGTGCCCCTGGGCACCATAGGGTGGATGGCCCCCAATAATGATACTGCTTTCTCTGTCTTTACCTGCACAAGGCACCGGAAAGAAGAACATTGGATGCAAATTTAAAGCCAGGGTCAATTTTCCCTGCAGAGACCTCTTATTTCTAGAAACACTACCTTGATTTAAAAACGTGATTTTGATAGCAGCTGGCTGGGTGGGTTTGCATGTAGAGAGGTGGAAATGAAACCATCAACCTGGTGTCACGAGAGCAATTGGGCAGGGGGGTGGGAGAAGAGAATGACTCTTTCCCAGTGAGGAATGAATGTGCTACTTTTGAAATGAGTAAGGAGAGTGCTCCTTTTGGTACACAGAGGCGGGCTACTTCCCATGTGATCTTCAGAAAAGCAAAGACACAAAAACTGGGTTAGCACAAATAAAAGATGTACTGACCCACTGCAGGGATGCTCTGAAAATAACTGAGTGCAAACCTGGAAACTAGTTCTAGATGGGCACAGTTTAGCAAGAGGCCATGAAGTATCTCTGTTTCCCAGAGACAGGACCTGACATCAGTCACCCAGGAAAGATGGGAAGAATTTTATCCCCAGGTTTAGGCCCTCTCAGCAGAGCCTCATGGACCATGAATATCCCTGCATACCTGTTCCCCTTGGGCCCAAGAGGCCCTGGAGCCAAAACATGAATCCAGACCCCGGGACTGCCTCTTCTGGCTTTGAATTTGGGCAGCTCCTGATTCCTGCTCGGAGATGAGTTTTACCTTCACATAGCCAGACTCTCTCTCAGGCCTGTGGGCTCTCCTCGCTGTTGTTTGTATCCTTTGTCTGGCTTCTCCAGTCAGCACTGCAGGTTTTTCACTATGCAGATGATGTGCTCAGAAAGGCATTTAACAGAAACCTGGTGAAAGTTTTTTAGGACTGAGAGGGTCTGAAAAGGTTATTTTATCACTGCTTGTCTGTTACTGATGGGAAAGACAGGAACTGAATCTGAGCCTTTGCAATCTTGTAGTTTTAATAATTTGTAAATTTAATAATTTAATGCGGTAACTGTGGCTCAGCACCAGTTTGGTTCAGCTCTCTCCTCCATCCCAGGTGGGAATACAATTAGATACACAGGGCCATCCAAAAGGGAAGGTATCGTTCTTATAAGAGCTCTCCACAATAAGGAGGAGAATAAAGGCTGTGAAGCTGGTTATCCTGTGGACTACTTTTCATTTAAAATGCTTTTTTTCCCTCTTTGTGGGTCTGAAGTAATAGCTTATAGCATGCTTTAATGTTATAAGGTGATAAGGTCAGAGGAAGCAAACACTTTCAAGCTCCCAAAGCAAGCCGAAGTATTCAGTGCTGTCACAAAGACAGTGACGCTTTAAAACCTCTGAACGTTTGGTCACGGTGCATCGCTGGCAGTTGTAAAGGTAAAGTCACACAACTCAGGAAAGCTGACTGTCCACAGCCTCCGTCAGCCTGTCTTGATGTGAAGGGGCTCTGCTTCCCCCTTGTAGCAGCGGTGGAAATTTCCAGGTCTATTTCTCCGACCCCCTGGAGCAAAGCTTGGCTGAGGAACCTGCAGAAGGCAGTGTTTAGCGCCTGGCCAGATGTACGCAGCACAGGAAACAAAGCACGGCAGGAAGGTGGCAGAATTGCTCCGATTAAACAGAGGACTTACAGGCATTCACACTCTCCCAACACGGAAACACAGTTATTGAATGGGAAGGAAGGTTAATCTCGTTTTCCTGCTGCGCTGCATGATAAAAAATCCCCTTCCCTTGGTGCAAAAATGACGCGGAGCAACACAGCAGCTTTCGCCGTAACTCGGCGGTGAGCTGTGCCGAGCCGGGCGGCTCGCAAACCTCTCAGCAAGCCCAGGAGGCAGGGCGAGACCCCGGGGGCGGCGGCTCCTGTCACACACCGGGGTTCCGGAGAAGCGCCGGCACCGCCGCCTCTGCTGCCCCGCTGCCTTCAGCGCCAGGCGGGCTCACCCACCCCACCGGGGCTCCCGAGGGACCGCTTCCTTCTCGGGCGGTGCCGGGGACAGAAGCCGCGGGCTGAGAGGCTCAGGCCGGCGGCGGGGACCTTTCCTGCCGGCAGGAGCGGCCGGTGCCCGGCGGGCAGGGGCGGGCTGTCCCCGGCGCGGGGGCGGTGCGGCGCCGCCGGGGCCGGGCCGTGACCGCGTCCCGCCTCCGGCGGGGCGGTGGCAGCGGCGGCGGGGCGTGCGCGGGGCGGCGCGGCGGCAGTGCCGGCGCGGAGCCGCGGGAGCCCCGAGCCCGCCGCGGCGGCGGCAGCGCGGCCGCGCCCATGGCGAGCAGCAGCGGCGGCAGGTAGGGTCGGGCGGGGCGGGGGCCCGCTCCCCCGGCCATGGCTCAGACGGAGCCCCCGAAGGCGGTGCGGCTGTGGCGCGACGCCGCCCTGCGCGCACGGAAGCTGCGGGGCGGCCCCGGCGAGCCCGAGCCTGAGCCCGAGCCGGACGCGGGGCCGCCGGGGGGGCCGCCGCCGCTGCCCCTCGCCGCCGCCGCCGCGACTCGCCGCCCGCCTCCGGCGGCCGCGCTGGGGGAGCTGGAGGCGCTGAACCTGAGCGGGCGGGGGCTGGAGGAGCTGCCCGAGGAGGTGGGCGCCGCCCTGAGCGGGCTGCGGGTGCTCAGCCTACGGCGCAACCGGCTGGCCCGCCTGCCCGCCGCCGCCCTGCGCCACCTGGGCCGCCTGGCCGAGCTCGACCTCAGCCACAACCGGCTGCGGGGCCTGGGGGACGGCGGGGCGCTGGCGGGGCTGCGGGGCCTGCGCAAGCTCAGCCTCAGCCACAACGAGCTGGGCGCTGAGGGCCCGGGGCTGCCCCCGCGGCTCGCCGAGCTCGGCTGCCTCGAGGAGCTCGACCTCAGCTTCAACCGCCTGCGCCGCCTGCCCGAAGGCCTGGGCCGCCTGCGCCACCTCCGCACCCTCGACGTCGACCACAACCTGCTGCCCTCCTTCCCTGCCCAGCTGCTGGAGCTGGCCGCCCTGGAGGAGCTCGACTGTTCCGGCAACCGCCACCTCGGGGCCCTGCCGGAGGGCATCGCTGCCCTCCGCCGCCTCAAGATCCTCTGGCTGAGCGGCACCGGGCTGGCGGCCCTGCCCGAGGGCCTCTGCCAGCTGAGCGCCCTCGAGAGCCTCATGCTGGATGGCAACCGGCTGCAGGCCCTGCCTGCTGGCTTCGGCAGGCTGCAGCGGCTCAAGATGCTGAACCTCTCCTCCAATCTGCTGGGGGAGTTCCCCTCTGCCATCCTGGCGCTGCCCAGTCTGGAGGAGCTCTACCTGAGCCGCAACCAGCTCACCCTGCTGCCCCCTCGCCTCTCTCAGCTCCACCAGCTCCGCACCCTCTGGCTGGACAACAACCGCATCCGCTACCTGCCTGACTCCATCGTGCACCTCCACAGTCTGGAGGAGCTGGTTCTGCAAGGCAACCAGATCGCCATCCTGCCTGAGGGCTTCGGGCAGCTTTCCCGCGTCACCTTGTGGAAGATCAAAGACAACCCCCTCATCCAGCCCCCCTATGAGGTATGCATGAAAGGCATCCCCTACATCGCAGCCTACCAGCAAGAGCTGGTCCACTCCCAGCCTGCCCTCAAACCCCGCCTCAAGCTGGTCCTCATGGGCCTAAAGGATGCAGGAAAGACCCTGCTGAGACGATGCCTCATGGAGGAAGATGGGCAGAGAGGGGACGTGGGAACCCTGGAGGCAGGGAGCACCCAGCCCAGAGGGTTTCCTGGGAAGCATCAGGACGTTGGGAAAGTGCCAGTTGGGTGTTGCCCCTTCCCTGAGCTTCAAGATGCTTCCTCAGCACGGGTACCTGTCACGCAGCAGCTGGAACATCTCCCTGTTGAGCAGCAGGACGTTCCTTCTCACGCCCCCTCTCAGCGAGTGAAAGGGCAGAGACCATGCCCTGCACCGTCGCTGCCACCAAATGCCCCTGAAGTACCATCAGGACTAGGACTGTCAGGAGGCAGCAAGGGCATTGAGGTGATGGACTGGACAGCGGACGCAGAGAGGGGCTTGACATTCATTGTGTATGAGCTGGCAGGGGATCCAAGTTATGATGTGATCCAATCTTTCTTCCTCTCTCCTGGAGCCTTGTATGTGCTGGTGGTGAATTTGAGTGCCTACGTCCCTCAGCACTTCTACCCCTCTGTGGGCTACTTCTTGCACTGGCTCAGTTCCAAGGTGCCCCATGCTGTGGTGTGCATGGTGGGAACCCATGCTGACCTCTGTGCGGAGCGGGAGTTGGAAGAGAAGTGCCTGGACATCCATCACCAGATTGCTCAGCAGGAAAAGAGGGATGCTGAGGGACTCCAGAGCTTAGTCCAGCAGGTAGATGAGGCTCTGGGGCAGGACTTCGACCTGCGCTGCTCCAGCCCACACGCTGCCTTTTACGGGGTCTCAGACAAGAACTTGCGGCGAAAGAAAGCCCAGTTTCAGTACCTTCTCAACCACCGCCCACAGATCCTCTCTCCAGTGCTGCCTTTCAGCTGCCAGGACCGTTGCCAGGTGCGTCGCCTGCGGGACAAGCTCCTCTCGGTGGCTGAGCACCGGGACATCTTCCCAAACCTGCACCGGGTGTTGCCCAAATCCTGGCAAGTGCTGGAGGAGCTGCACTTCCAGCCACAAGCTCAGCAGCTGTGGCTTAGCTGGTGGGACTCGGCCCGGTTGGGCTTGCAGGCCGGCCTGACGGAGGATCGGCTCCAGAGTGCCCTGTCCTACCTGCACGAGAGTGGGAAGCTGCTCTACTTTGAGGAGCACCTCACCTTGAGGGAGTACGTGTTCCACAACCTGCCACGGCTCATTGACATCCTCAATGTCTTCTGCCAGCGGGATGCCACTGTGCTGCTCCAGAAGCTTCTCAGTGACACTCAGATTGACGAACTGAGGACCACTCAGCTCCATCATTACGTGGAGGGCTTCTTGCTGCATGGCCTCCTCCCTGCCCATGTTATCCGTCTCCTCCTTAAGCCTCACATCCAGAGCCGGGAGGATCTGCAGCTCATCCTGGAGCTGCTGGAGAAGATGGGGCTATGTTACTGTGTCAACAAACCCAAATGCAAGCCCTTAAATGGGGCGGCTGCTTGGTACAAGTTTCCCTGCTACTTGAAAAACGAGGTGCCCCATGCAGAGGCGTGGATCAACGGCACCAATCTGAGCGGACAGTCCTTCTTGGTTGAGCAGCTGCAGATTGAGTACAGCTTTCCATTCATTTTCCCACCCGGCTTGTTTGCACGCTACAGTGTCCAGATCAACAGCCACGTGGTTCAGCGGTCAGATGGCAAATACCAGATTTATGCCTACCGGGGAAAGGTGCCCGTGGTGGTGAGTTACCGGCCTGCCAGGGGAGCTCTGCAGCCAGACACTCTGTCTATCGCTAGTCACGCGTCCTTACCAAATATCTGGACAGCTTGGCAAGCTATTACGCCTTTAGTGGAAGAACTGAATGTCCTGCTCCAGGAATGGCCGGGCCTGTACTACACTGTGCACGTCCTCTGTTCAAAGTGCCTTAAAAGAGGGTCACCCAACCCACACACTTTTCCAGGTAAGGCACAGCTCAGCTTGGGGGTTTTTCCCCTTCTAGAAGGGTGTCTTACTGTGTCAGCCTTAGCTCCCCTTTTTTTTTTTTTTCTTTTCTTTCTGCTATAACTCCTTTCCCCCGTGATTTGAGTCATGAGAGAAAATATTAGGGTAGCTCCAGGGAGACAGGCTTAAAATAACCCTATTCTGAGATGAGGCGGGTGTTACAACCCCTTTTGTCTGTGCCTTTTCTCTCTGCTTTTTGGGGTTTGGCCCTGAAAGTTGGTGGTGCCATTGTTGAAAAGGCACTGACCTGTCCTTCTCCTTGTTTTGATTCCTTTGAATGGAACTGTGCTGGGTCGGGTTTTTTTGGTTTTTTTCCTAATTCATTTTACCCTGCAGCTTCCACTTGGGACTATTTGTAAACATGGATGGAGATTCCCAAAAGATCGCAGGTGTCCCCCACCCCCTCCTTCAACCCTCCACCCCCCAAACCTGGCCTGTGCTGCAACCTCTCCAAATGCAGGAAAGCCCCTCCTGGTGCACAATGGCAGCAGGAAGCATTCCTCCCCGAAGAGAGGGGGATGCTCCATCTTCTTTGTTTAAGTGTCTCACCTAGAAATGATTCCCGGACTGTGCCTTCTGGAGCTATTATTGAGAGCAATTATTTTTCTTCCACTCTCCCCTAATCTAACAAAAAAAGCATCATCTCCTTCCTCTGGCATGTGACTAGTTACGGTACTTTTTAAAGCTCTCACTTCTAAAGCCGTGATTTTTATTGGTGCTGTTTTCCAGCAGCAGCTGTTTTACTTTGTAGGTGTACAGGTACTGCCTCCTAACTAGTGTCCTCCTTTCTCCTCTTGGCTTTGCTCTGCGGCTTGTGGGGGCCATGGGAAAGGTTCTTTGATGTGTAAATCTGCATGAAATCAAAACACACTCTGCACTGTAAGCAGTGCCCCAGAAATATGTATTTTTACACACACATACACCCATGTTGGAAGTGTGTTGGACATTATTTACAGGTAGCCTGAAATTGTGGGGGGAACTGCAGTATAATTTGAGTTAAAGCAACTAATGATGCTGAATTGATTCATAAGCAAATGTGACTAATAAGGCATGTTTTTTGGGATTTGGTTTCTTTTTTCTTTTTTTTTTTTTTTTCCTCTGGACCTTGAGAATAAGGAGATGCTGTTTGCTCCTCAGCCTGCATCCTGGTTGCTTTGATTGTATCTCCCTCTAACTGTGCTTGCTTATGTAAGAGCCAGTGAGCTGGGGGGTTGAACCCACTCTGAGTGGTATCTCGCTGCTGACGTGGTGCTTGAGGGAATGCGATCTGCTTTCCAAAAAAAAAAAAAAACACACACAAACAAACTGGAAAAAAACCAACAAACCGAAAAAAAAACCCAAAACAATCCAACAACCTCTCAAAAAAACCCACCAAAATTAGTCAAGAAAGCCAACTATATGTGCAATGTGCTGGTATAACAGGCAGCTGTTGAAGGCTCAGTTTGTGAATTCAGGTCTTCAGTTGTGTATTTCTATTTTTTTTATATTTGGTGAATGTTTTTGGCTATTTCTTTTTTGCCTGTGAGTAGATGATGCATTAACAGTGAAACTTTGAAGAGGAGCCAGACTGTCTGCAGGCAATTGGTGTCATTGCTGACCAGTGACAGTCAGAGCAGGTCCAGAAGCATGAGAGGGGCACTGAAGTTAAAGGGCCTTTTTCTTTGGGTTTGGCTGTGCCATATATGTTTCCTTAGAGGTAAGAAAGGGTTGTTCTCACCTGGGAACCAGATCAGGTGTGCTGGGAAGGGAAGGCATAAGTAAGCATTGTGTTGAACATGAGAGGAGCTGGGGCTCATGTGCCAGGTCTCCGAATGCCACCTGGGTGATGCTGCCTGTGGAAAGGGGGTTGCGGAATTTCTGAAGCACTCCAAGTGGGGAAGTCAGGCCTTGCTGCCAGGAGCACAGGACAGCATCCCAGGTGATCCTGCCTTGGGGCAAGGGATGACTGTCTTAACATGGATACTATGCGAGTCTAACTGGGAGAACAGCAGACAAGCGTGTTTCAAAGGCAAGGCTGATCTGTGGAACTGCTGAAGAGCGAATAAAGGCTGCAGTTTATTGAGAAGCCTGCTTGTTGTCTCGGATGATGCTTAAATCTAGCCCATCTGTGATTTGGAAAACAGGAAAAATGTGAACTGTGATTTGGCTTGGAGAGGTCTGTATGTCTGCATTTAATCTAAAATATTCTTTGCTGTGTATCTGCTCTATGAATAAAGGACTGTTTAAGAGCCCCTAAATGGCAATGGTGAAGCTCAAGACTTTTTCTACTGATTTTGTTGATCAGGAGGTGTGCATGTTTAAAGTCATGCCGTCAAGCTTGCTGTCATGCAAGTGAATCGTGGTTGGTGTCATTTTTGACAAGGTGTAGGAAAGAGATGGTTCTAATGTTACGAAAATATGTAGTGAGGGAGATGTCTGTTTCTTTCCAAGCTCTTTTAGTGAAAATCCCTGGCAATTCTTAAATAGGTCTGTGGGCTTTTTAGGACTGCACTGAAGAACTGCTTTGCAGCCTGTTGACCTTAATAAGGGAAATATTTCTGTGGAGACACTGCCAAATTTGTGCTCAAAAATGGAAGTGCAGTCTGGCTGTGTGTATGGTTGTGCAATCTGTGTCGTCATTCATGAAACTGATGGTGCATTCTTTGGTCATCCAAAATTTTTATTGGAATCCCCTTCAAAGAGGGGTCTTGGTTGTTCATGTGTTGAGGATTAATCATTTCTTTTCCTCTCCTTCCCTTTCTACCCTGTCCCACGCAGGCATGCTATGACTACCACTGATAATAAAGAAATACCCTAGGAACAAGCTACTTTGTATAGAAATGGTTAATAAGAATTGAGATTTTGGATTCAGTCTTCTGAGGGTTTATTACAAACAAACAGTGAATGAAAGTGATACAAAAATGCCTTGTTAGGGTCCTTTTAAGGAAGCTTTTGCGTTTGAAACAATTTTTTAGCTGGGTGAAATAGTAACGGAATTGGCATCTGAGCTGGAATCTTAGTGTGCTTTGAGGCTGCAGTCATCCACTCAGCTTGGAGAAAACAACTTGGTGTGTTGAATTTTTTTTTTTGCTTTACGTTTGCACTACATATAAATGAAAGTATTCTTGCCAGGCTAAGAAAGGCATATCCCTGCTTGGAGTGACCAACAAAAATGGTTCACCAGTCCAAAATGATGAGAACTCAGTTAGGTTGTCACAGGCATTGTGAAATGCTCAGATTTGTATGTGATGTTCTTTTAGTCCCTGGACTGAAGGGCTTTTAGGTTATTCATGTCCCATAAGCTATTAAGTGACTTGGGATTGGGGGGTGGAGGTGGTTTGCCATCTGTCTGATAGTAGACACGTGTGCTTTGTTTGGACAAATGTGACTGGATTTTCCAAGCCTGCATTCATGTGCAGCTGCTAACTGCCTTGCTGCTGTCTCCTCTTGCCCTGTGCTAGGCTGGGTCTGGGCCACCCCAGGCTCATCCAGACTGTGGTTTGTACAAGGTGTCCTGAAGTCCTGTGTGCGATTCTGTTGGTGTTTGGGGTGGAGGGTATTATGTTTGATTGGTGGTTTTCCTTTATTCCTGCCTGTAAAGTTGACTGAATGAATGTAGACATAAGAAAGCCAGGGTCTGTGTCCATTGTGGAAGAGGGGCAACATGCTTTCACAGGACAAGGTGATCTGTATTTTCACAGAATAAAAATATGACAAAGATGGAAAGCCACAGGCAAAGATATTGTGAGAGCCTAGCAGTCCCTCTCCAAAAAGGTGCGCCAGAGCAACTGGGGAGCTGTGAGAGATGCTGGAGGACTAGCAAGAGGTCTCCTGTAGAGAGGAAGCGCACATCTCCCACCTGCCTTGCTTTCCTCTTCTTGAGGTATCAGAGCAGGGAGGAGATCACAAGCCTCTACTTTGCCTGTCTCCCACATAGAAGGTGAACAGAAGCAGGGATCGTATGCCAGTCACCTTCAGGGGTTCAAATGGAGATCCAGTGTAGCTCCCCTGTGGGTCTCTCTGTCATGGCTAGAGCAGAGTTAACTAGGCCACCTTATGCATGTGATTCAAAGTGAGCCATGCTCACCATCCCCGCATTGGAGTCAAAAGCAATCAAGAACTCCCTTGGTGGCTGGGATGGAGTCAGGACATGGAGAGGTGGAAGATCCCATGATGTGTCATGCTGTCAGGTTACCCATAGAAGGTGAGGCAAGAGCAGGTGAGACTGGTTTTGTCAGAAGGACTCAGAAGTTGCTCCAAACTCTGAGCTGCTGTTCAATGAAAGGCTGATGTCAGGTATCTAATTGCGCTTTGTAGTTACATTTTAAGCAGCTGAGGTTCTTTTCACAGGCAATTGCAGTAGAGTAACACCTGCTTGTTATAGATCGTGATGCTAGCATTTGACAGCCTTCTGTTTTCCCCATTTGAGGGTGGAGTCTTTTTGCTTGACTTTCAAAGTAGTTACCATGGCTTCTTTGAGGCTGTTGTCACGCTATCCTGCAGGCTGTGGCATAATCAGAGACAGTGTGGCAAGACTTCAGCGCTGTGTGAGCTCTGGACGTGGGTGATCTGGGTGGCAGGATGAAGCTGAACAGGGCCCTATGATTCAGGAGAAGAGCAGTGTTGATTGGTTGCTGGGCTTGGAGAAGCTAGTGTTATTCTGTACCTCTCTTAGCATGGATAATTGGCTGAATGAACATGAGAAAGTTAGGGTCTGTGGCTATTGCAGAAGATTGGCAAAATGCTTTCACAAGTAAAACTGTGTGATTCTGTAGCTCTATTAGCATGGATAATTTAGTTTATCAACTAGAGCTGATTTCTGTGCTGCTGAAGTGACAACCTAGAGTGGTGTGACTTGCTCTAGGTACCAGTGTAGAAGCACAGTAGTAGCCTCTTTGCCGCTTAGGCAAAGAGGGTTTCTTAAGAGATTTCCTTCACGTTGAGCTGTGTGTTGCAAGGTGAGCATTTGAAGTCCCCTTG